TTAAAATCTATAAAATTTAATTTAAGTGATAAAAAAAATCCAAATTTTAATGAAAAAGTTTATTCAGAATTTATATCTTCTAAATCTTTAGCTACTATGAACTCTCAAGATATGGCTAGTGATGAAAAAAAAAATGAGAGAAAAAAATGCTTACAAGAAAGTTTATTAGCTTGTCAATCCGATTGGGATGTAAAAAATATACTCTTAAAAAAATCGAGAAAAGGAGAATTCCAATGTTTTAAATGTAAGGGTTATGATACTATTTATCATCAATTACAAACAAGAAGTAGCGACGAACCTATGACAACCTTTGTTACATGTTTGAAGTGTAATAATAGATGGAAATTTTAAACAAACAAATAGTTTATTTTTGTATTATAAGAAAAAAATAAAAATAAAAAAAAAAATAATAATAAAAATAATAATAAAAAACTTATATACATTGAGATATTTGAATCTTTATATCAACTGGTCAAGTGTGATTATAACTGTAATAAAATTTTAGCATAAGTATTAAAATATAAAATGTAAATGTTGATTTCCTGTATACTTCAAAAGTGAATATTTATATGTGTGAATAGTAAAGAATTATATATGCGAAAGGAATTTTATGTCTTTTATATTAAATACTCATTGAGTTTATGTATGTACTTATTTATTTGTACATATATATATATATATATATATATATATATATATATATATATATATGTATTTATTTATTTATTTATTCATGTATGTATTTATTTATTTATTTATTCATGTATGTATTTATTTATGTATTTTTTTTTTATCTTTTGTCTTGATATATATTTCTTTGTTTTACATATAATTGTTTAGTTTATACATTTTCATGTATACTTATTTTTTCAATACCTTTATACGCATATGTTATATTATATTATATAATAAATATATATTCATGTTAAAAATATAAATCCTTAATAGGAGCCCCTTACATTCAGAAGATGCCGCATTTGTTATCTCACCAAGTTGTTATATTAAATATTCATTTAACCTTGAAAATTTTATTGAATAATGAGAACAATATAAATTTTTTTTTGTACATTTGACGAATAAAAATGTACGAATTTATACATTTATTCATTTTATCACCCATTCATTTCGTTTCTATTATATATATATATATATATATATATATATATATATATGTATATATAATTATTTATTTATTAATTTATTTTTTCCACTTTGAACATTCAATATTTTATTAAATTTTAACCCTTTTAATCCTATTTTTTTTTAAATACATATATAAAATATATTGTATATATAAAATATATATATTTATATATATGCATAATATTTTCAAAAATTAAATATACAAACACAACATATATATATATATATATCTTATGTTTGAAGAATAATTTATTATATATAACATCATAAAATAAACATATAAATTTTTTTTTTTTTTCTTTTTTTGGTTTTTTAATATTTTATCTTGTACCAATCTCTGTTTTTACATGTGCAATTATTTATATATTAATATATTTTGTATAAATAATATGTATGTATTTTTTCTTTTTCTTTTTTTTATTAAGAACATATTATATTTTATATTTAATAATTTTAATTATATTTATATATAAACATCTTTTTTTTTCCTCATAATTATAATATTATAAAAATATAAAATAAAACAAACGAAAAAAACATACCCTACAAAAATAAAATAAAATAAAAGGAAATATATCTATTCTGTGAGTATATAATTTAGAAGGAACATATTATATGTTTATTGATATATAAATTTAATTTTTTTTTTTTTTTTTTTTTTTTTTTTTTTTTGAGCACATTATTAAAAAATATTATTATGTATATTTTGAATATAAAATATTGAATGATTTTTCTTTTATATTAAAAATAAAAATTCATTTGGAATATGACCGATGATCCTTTTTAATTTTATATAAATATACTTTTTAACTACAAAAATAAAATAATAAAATAAAATAAATGAAAAGAAAAAAAAAGATAAAAGAAAAGGAAAAATAAAAATAAAAAAAAAAAGAGAAACATTTATTTTTTAACTGAAGTATTTAAACCTCTAAAATATGTAATAATATATATATATATATATATATATATATATATATATATATATATTTACAATATATTTAAAAAAAAAAAATGAGTAGTAAATCAGACAAAGAGGAGAAATGTAAAAGCAAAAATAAAGAGAAACATTATAAATATCGAAAAGAAGACAACAAAAGAGATATTATAAGTAAAGAAAAATATAAATACCGGTATGAAGAACATATATCCAAAAAGGATTATACAAAAAAGAAAGAGAAACTTTATACAAATGATTCTGAAAAAGAAAATAAAAAAAAAAAAAAAATGTTAAAGTATAATAGTAAAGAAGAAATAGACAAGCAAGAAAGTGATATACCTAACAATTCAAATAAAGATAATAAGGATGAATACGTTGATATTAAACAATTTAAGGAAAATGCAATGAATAAAAATATAGTAATGAAAAAAAGAAAAAGGAAATCATCATCAATTAGTAGAGATAATCATTTTAAACATGAAGAAAGGGTAAGACAAAAATCGAAGGTTAAAAGAAGTTGTGATGTTAAAAAAAAAAAAAAAGAAAATTCATCCTATAGTAATCAGAGTTCAAGTGAGAATATGTCAGACGTTTTAAGCAGAAAACGATATAGTAATAAATCTAGCGATAGTTCTAAATTAAGTGATTCTTCTAAATCAACTGGTAGTTCTAAATCTAGTGATAGTTCTAAATTAAGTGATTCTTCTAAATCAAGTGCTTCTTCTAAATCAAGTGATAGTTCTAAATTAAGTGATTCTTCTAAATCAAGTGGTAGTTCTAAATCTAGTGATAGTTCTAAATCAAGTGATAGTTCTAAATCAAGTGATTCTTCTAAATCAAGTGATAGTTCTAAATCAAGTGATTCTTCTAAATCTAGTGGTAGTTCCAAATCTAGTGATAGTAATAAATCTATTCAAAGTTATTCCTCATATACGAAAAGAAGAAAAAAAAAAAAAATAATGAAGAAGAAGAAGAAAGGTAAAGAGGAAAAAAAAAGGAATATAAAAAACAAAAGTGATAATGTAAATGAAGAAATTAAAAAAAAGAAAGAATTTGATGAACATATATATGATAGTAAAGAAATGATAAGATTAACAATAAATATATTACAAAATTATAATTTTCTGAATAATTTAAAAATACTTTACAAAAAGTTAGATAACAAAAAAAAAATATCTTTAGAAAATATAAAAGATTTAAAATTAAAAAAAAAATTAAGACATTTATTACGTTCTTGGAAATTAGAAAAAAAAGATGAATATTATAAAAAACCATTAAATTTTAGAGAAAGTATATTTGATATATTTAATAATTTATTATATTACTTTTTATCTAAAATAGATATAAATAAATTGAGGGAAAATATTTCAAAGAGAAAACAATTATTATCAAATAAAAAAAATAATAAATCAAATAATTCTTCAAATCAATGTAAGTTATCTAATATATCAGATTATTACTTAGAAAATGTAAATGATTATATTTATGATGATGAAAATTTATTAAATGATTTAAGAAAAAATAATTCTTCCGATTTATTAGAAAATTCAAATCATATGCCTATGAAAAGTTTAAGAGAATTACATGAAGAAGGATTTTTTAAAAACAGTAAAGAAAATTATAAAGAATTTGTAGAAAAACATAAAGAAATTGATTTATGGGGGAAAAATGAACAAGAACAAAAATATTTATTAAGTTCAAAAAATAAACCAAATGAAAGAAAAAGATTTGACAGGGAAACGGATTTGTGTATAAATAAATTTGTAAATAAGGAAGACTATAAAAAGTTAATAAAAAATACGAAGGACCATGTCGATGATAAATTTCACAAAACATAGAATATGATATAAATTTTGTGTGTATAAACGTATCTGTCTATATTTATTTGTAGATTCAAAAATAAAAAATAAATTATATATATATATATATAATTTATTTTTTATTTTTTTTTCTGTTTATTGAATATATCATATAATTAAATAATCCATTTCATTATAATTCTTATCAATTCATATTTTCAAAACATTTATATATATAATTTTTATTATATTATTTTCCTATAACTCTTTATATTTTTTTGTCTTTATTTTATTTTATTTTTTTTTTTTTTGTTTGTTAAACTTTTAAATTGATTTTGTTTTATATTAAAAATATATACATATATATATATATATATATATATATATATATATATATATATATAAGTAAAATACTGTTACAAACATTTTATTATTATTTTCTTTTCCCTTTAAAATAATATTAATTTTATTACATATATATAATAATATATATTCTAAATGAATATATAACATATTATTTTATATAAAGAAAGGTCTACAAACAGGTTTTCACTTTTTATTATTTTTTTTGGTTGCATAATATTATATTTTGACATTACAAAATATCTAAAAAAAACAATCCTCGGTTAGTAATCAATATTTTGTTAAATATATATATATATATATATATATATATTTATTTATTTATTTAAAAAACTATTTACAAAAGGTTTAATATTATATATATAAAAAAAAAAAAAAAATTGAAACTTTTAAAATTTATTATTATTCATTAATATATAATTTTCTATTCATTTAAATTTTAATGACTATCAATTTTTTAAATAACATAAAAAAGGCATAAAGAAATTTATAAAGATATTATACAATAATTATGTAAAATATAATTATAACTATAATATAATAAATTTAAACCGTATAAATTAAAGTACCAAATATTTATACTAAGAAGTATATAAGATATTTATTATAAGAACTTAAAAAATCTTATATTAAAGAAAGGAATATAATAATATATATATAAATATAATATATATATAATTTTATTAATGTATATATAATGAATTTTTTTCTTTTTTAATTTTATTATAACTTTTACGAAATCGTTAAATTTTGAATCCGAGATAGTATAGTGGCAAGTATTTCCGCCTGTCACGCGGAAGACCCGGGTTCAATTCCCGGTCTCGGAGGTTTTTTTTTTTTTTTTTATTAAATATGTTTATATAAAAATTCCTTTCCTTTTTTAAGAGGAATTATTTATTATGTATTTATATATATATAAATTTTTTTCTTTTTTTTTTTTTTTAAATGAATAGTTTCATATTAATAGTAATATATGAAAAAAAACAAAATAATTGAATTCATCTATTAAATATATTTTATAAGATGATAAATTTAAACTTTCAAATAAAAATAAACATAATGGCTAGTATATATATGTATATATATATATATATATATATATATATATATATAATAATTTCATACAATATTGTATTTATTATATATTCATTTCTGCATTTCTTTCGACAATTAAATATTGTTAAATACATTATTTGAACATTTTATGATAGAAAAAAATAAATGTTCACAAAGTTATTTTTAACAATTTGAAGGAGATTACATATAATAATATAAAAGTTATATTAATTTTTATAAAGATTGTTCATTTTTGGTAAGGAATTAATAAAATAATTATTTTATATATATATATATATATATATATAATATATATATAATTTAATCTGAACTGTTATAAGGATCAATACAATTTAAATGAAATGTTTTTTATATTATACCATTAGATGATATTCATAAGAATTAAATTTAATAATATTATGTATTATTTATATTTTAATTTATATATGTAATTATTTTATAAATCTTAAAAGAAGAATATAATTTTCATATAAAAAGAATTACCTTTTTGTCTATTTTTAATAAAATAAAGAAAAAAAAAGGGAAATATACATATTCATTTTTTTTTTTAATATTAATAAAAAATTCATGAAGTAATTATATGACAGAATGGCCGAGTGGTCTAAGGCGCAACGTTAAGGCCGTTGTCCGAAAGGGCGTGGGTTCGAACCCCACTTCTGTCAAAATTTTTTTCATTTTAAGAATAAAAAGAAAAAATAATACATATTTTTTATATTAATAATAAAGCTGAAATATAAATTAAGAAGGAAAATTAACTTTTTATATTTTTTTATTTTTATAATATAAAAATATTCGAAATGTTTATTTGCTTCTTAGGAATAAGTTTATTATTTATTACTTTTACAGTTATTCAAGCTATGTGTATTTTCCATGTTTTTTTTTTTTTTTTTTTTTTTTTTTTTTTGTTCTTATATCTTACTTATTTTTATTTAAGTACAAAAGGTATATGATTGATATAATATTATTTAATTTCCAAGAGGGGAAAAAGAAATATATATATATATATATAAGTGGATAATTTTACTTCTGTGGTTTAACAAGAATATTTAGAATATTTAGTTGTTATAAGGAATAGATAATATAAAAACGAAATAAAAAGAAAAATAATATATACTACATGTATATATATTTTATATAATATAATAATCCAGTTAAGCAGTGAAGGGATGTAGAAAAACATAAATGTAATTAAATATATAATAAATATGAATATACAAATTTGTAAGATATTTATAAAACATACAAAAATGATTAATACATATAAATTACACAAAGGTTATTCATATCATAAGGTTATAAATGATAAATAAATAAGGAATATAAAACATACTGAAGATGAACAAAAAAAAAAAAAAAAAAAAATTTAAAATATATTAGATGTTTATTATTAAAATTTTATATATAATTTTTATATAAATTCTTTTTTCTTTTTCGCAAGTTTACATATATAATATATAATAATACATATATATATATAATGATAAAATTATACATACCATTTTGTATGTATATATTATATTATATTATATATTAAATTTTTAAAATTACATTTTATATTTTGTAAGAATTTATATGTTTTATATATATATATATTATTTTCCATAATACCTTTTAATTATTATATTTAATAATTTACATAATTTTATTAAAACGAATAAAATCAATCAATTCAAATGTTATTTTATTATATATATATATTATTATATTATATTATATTATATTATATTATATATCATCACTCAAAAATTTTTCGACAACGGCAGGAATCGAACCTGCGCGGGCAGAACCCATTGGATTAGCAGTCCAACCCCTTAACCACTCGGGCACGTTATCTTAACCTTAAGTTTATAAAAGACTAAATATTACAGAAATATTAATACACTATTTTTATAATACATATATTATATATATGTGATATATATATATATATATATATATATTTTTTTTTTTTTTTTTTTGTATGCATATTTTTTTATTTTTATGTAAACATTTCCAAAGTAAACAAAAATTAAATTTTACATTTTTATATTATTGCAATAATGTATTTTTTTTTTTTTTCTTTAAAAAATTATAGAATATATTAAATTTCTTATTAAATATTAAAAAAAAAATAAATGGTTCATGCATTGTTTTAAAATGTACATATATTCATATTTTTAAATTATAATAAAAATGTTATAGGGTAAATCATATAAAGAATATTTTAAAAAGTTGTATATTACATTAGTAAAATTAAGAATGAATAAAAAAAAATATATATATATATATATATATATGTATATATTATGTTAAGTTGAAAGTTATGTATACATTATATCAATTCAAAATGAGATTTTTCAATAAAAAGAATATTTATTTTTTCTTATGCAAATACATATGTAATTTTTATTAGGTTATGCATAATATTTAATAAGTATAGTAAGTTTTCTCATGTTATTATTATGAATAAAATTATAAGTTGGTTTCTTAACTTTTATATTTCGTCTAAATATAATATTTGAAAACCAAGTATTTTTTGTGTAAAATTAGGTTAAATACTTTTTATATTATATATTTTAGTAGTTAATTTTTTTTATTTGATTTTCTAACTTGGAGGAATAATATATAAATATTATATATATATATATATATATATATATATATATACCTGCAAGCAATCTTAATATTTACAATAAACTTTATTTCATTTAGTTGTAATATATGCACAATAGTATAATAATTTTCAGAAAAAAAAAAAAAGAAAAAAAATTACAATTTTCTGTGTAAAATTGTATATATATATATATATATATATATATATATATATTCTATAAAATGAATGAATTTAGAAAACAAAAGTAAATACATACATACATACATACATTTATATATATGTGCTATTCAATTTATTGTTAAAATAATACGATATATATATTTATTATTTTATTTATTATTATTTATTTTAAATATATGTATATATATATATTTATATATATTTATATATATATATATTTATATATAACCCATCTCTTACTGTTTAAATAACCCTTTGATAAATATTTAGAAGTATTAGTAAGAATATATACACATTTCTATACAATATTTTTAATGATTAACTATGGCTTTAATTTACTCCAGTGATAAAAAAGATGATGATATCATTAACGTAGAAAAGAAATATGAGAGTTTCTTGAAGGAATGGAACTTAAAGAAGATGATAAATAGTAAAGACTTGTGTTTAGAATTTGATGTTTTTTTTTTTGATTGTGATGGAGTTTTATGGCATGGAAATGAATTGATAAAAGGTTCTATAGAAGTAATAAATTATTTATTGAGAGAAGGAAAAAAAGTATATTTTATTACGAATAATTCTACAAAATCTCGAGCTAGCTTTTTAGAAAAATTTCATAAGTTAGGTTTTACAAATGTAAAAAGAGAACATATTATATGTACAGCATATGCTGTTACAAAATATTTATATGATAAAGAAGAATATAGATTAAGAAAAAAAAAAATTTATGTTATTGGAGAAAAAGGAATATGTGATGAATTAGATGCATCTAATCTTGATTGGTTAGGAGGTTCTAATGATAATGATAAAAAAATTATTTTAAAAGATGATTTAGAAATTATTGTAGATAAAAATATAGGGGCAGTAGTTGTAGGTATAGACTTTAATATTAATTATTATAAAATCCAATATGCTCAATTATGTATTAACGAATTAAATGCAGAATTTATAGCTACGAATAAAGATGCTACAGGTAATTTTACATCTAAACAAAAATGGGCAGGTACCGGTGCAGTTGTATCAAGTATTGAAGCTGTGGCTTTAAAAAAACCGTTAGTTGTAGGTAAACCTAACGTATATATGATAGAAAATGTTTTAAAAGATTTGAATATTCATCATTCAAAAGTTGTTATGGTTGGAGATAGATTAGAAACAGATATACATTTTGCAAAGAATTGTAATATTAAATCAATACTAGTTTCGACAGGTGTAACTAATGCAAATATTTACTTGAACCATAATAGTCTTAACATTCACCCTGATTATTTTATGAAATCCATATCGGAATTATTATAAAGATATAAACATAAATAAAAATATATATATATATATATATATATATATTTTATAAAGTTCATATATTGTTGATGGTTAATTTTTTTTTTTTTTTTTTTATATCATGTTATTCCTTTTGTAACTTTGATTTTTATGTTTATGTATTATAAAATAAATAAATGAACTATTATAAAAATAATACATTTTTGTGATTATATTTGTGTACTCTCAACATTTGTAGATGCTATCATCTTTTCTTCTTCTATTAATTTTTTTAAAGTATCATTTAATTCGTTAAGTGATTTCGTTAGCCTCATATTTTCATTTCTCAAAAATTCATTTTCTTCTTTTAATTCGTTCATGGGAAAATCTAAGAAGAAAAAAAAAAATTAAAAATTTAATGAAATAATTATATATATATATATATATATATTTATTTATTTATTTATTTTTTTTTTATTTGTGTACATATTTGTTCTTACCTTCGTCGTTACACATATTATCACGAATGAACTTGATGGCATCGGCAGGCCTTTCCTTTTGGTTATATAATTTTAAAAGAATATTGCTTATTGTATTTATCACATTATGTTCTTCCAGGTATACGATAAAATTGTCTTTTTCATTATTCTTTGTATCTTGTGAGTTCATGTTAAAGATACTTAATATAAATAAATTTTTATGTGCAAAAAATGTTGGACGTTAA